ACACATAAGTAGATGTTGACTTGTGCAGTCATCATTGGAGCATCGTTGCATGTCAGAATAGTCAAGTCACCATTATTTATATAACGCTTTTTACAATGCAGATTGTGTCAAAGCAGTTTTACAGTATTAAACAGGGAAATAGTGTGCCGTTCTCCTCTGGCTAGACAAAACCAGCAGTTAAATTCTAGGTTGCAGCAGAGTCAGATTGTGCAGAGGAATCATCTTGTTCCCGTGGTCTTGTCCCGGTGGCCGTCTATGATGAGGTCTTTGGAGGGAATCCATCTCTGGGGCTCATCTATTTGACATGGTCAACAATAGACATTGGCATCTTTTCTGAAATCTAGTTGTTGTATGGATCACATCTTTCAAACTGGCAATGCACCCAAATGCCTGAATTTCACAACAACCTAATTTTCTTCACTGCCCTCAACCTCATTGCTTCTGTCCTCTTTGGTCCTCAAAAAACTTTTTATTACTACAATCTGATTTTCTGATGCATTCCTGTCACTATCATCAATACTTTTTGAAATAAGTCCAGATTTGTCTCTCCATCTTCCCAAAATTTTACAAAAATAAACCTAAAACACATGTCAATAGTGCTAGCTACGCAAAATATGCATCCCATAATAGGACTTTGTTATGCATGATGCTTAGATTTTTGGACCTCTGAGTTATTGTTTTTATAAAAGTGCATTAAAAATGACAAAAAACATTAGAACATTTCGATCTAAAATTATATTTTTTATAACTTGAATGTATATGCATTTTCTAGTCTAAAATGAGCTCACTATAGAGCCTTGAGAGCATGTAGGTGTGCTAAAGTCTCCTTTACTACCTAAAAATGGGAAGCACATGGCAAATAAATTTGAATTCTACTGGTTGAAGGGGATGTCATATGACATCACTAAACTTTTATTTTATTGGTTGACTATTAACTCTAAAAAATGCTGTGAACAGAGCTGTTTTGGACAAGGGCTGCTGTTCGCGGGGGAACTGCGAACCTCAGACCACCGCCTCGCGTTTCACTCGTAGCTGAAAGATGCCATGACTGACTCCATAACCTGCCCAGAAACATACAGTACTGAAATTAGAGAACATATTTTAACATTAAATTAATTATATGTGACGTGACATGTGGCCAAGTATGGTGACCCATACTCGGAATTAGTGCTCTGCATTTATCCCATCCTAAGTGCACACACACAGCAGTGAACACACACACACCATGAACACACACCCGGAGCAGTGGGCAGCCATTTTTTTATGCTGCGGGGAGCAGTTGGGGGCTCGGTGGCTTGCTCAAGGGCACCTCAGTCGTGGTATTGAAGGTGGGAGAGAGCGCTGTACATTCACTCCCCCCACCTACAGTCCCTGCCGGTACGAGACTCGAACCCACACCTTTTGGGTTACGAGTCCGACTCTCTAACCCATTAGGCCACGACTTCCCCATATTCAGCTTTATAGAGAATAAAATCAGTTATTAGTTAGTTATGCAAGGCAAAATGCGTTTCCATTACGCGAAACGACCGACTGCTGCTGATGCATTTAGCTGACTGACATCTCGTCCTTGTATGTTGCGTTGCATAAAATAATGTAATATACAGCACAATAAAGACTATGTATACAAACCTTTATTTCGCTGAAGAACCGCTCTCTCCTAACTACCCAGCAGGCTCAACTCAGCGGTTGGGTAGAAAAAAATAACCCAGCAGCTTAGTTACAGAAAAACAACCCAGCACCTGGGTAAAAATTGTAAAAACAACCCAATAAAATTACCCAACAGGCTGAACCCAGTATTTGGCTTAAAAAAAATAACCCAGCATTTTTTAGAGTGTATTGCATTTTAAATGCAAATTTCTTAGCACCATTTATAAACCCCAAAGATGGTTGAAGTGCACTTTTTCTTGTTGGAATTTCATTGTGAACACACTGCTCACACTATTTCAACTATACAACAGCATAGAATAGTGCTTAAGCAAATTGGGATGCACCTTATTGTGTATTCTACTCAGTGACACTGTTTTTCGTTGATGTCATAGCTTTTAGCAATGAATCAACCTGCTTTTTGGTAGGCACAGCTATTTTTAAATTAAATGTGTGTGGCTTCCAGTGTGCTCCACTTCCAGCTATTTTTAGCTGTACAAAACAGCTCGTTTTGCTGCTTGATATTGCAAACTGGTGTTTCGTACCATTATTATTTGAATGTATTGTCTTGTAAACACACTGGTTTGCAGCACAAAACGTTTTATGTTATTCTTCTCATTAATATGTCTTGCACATTCACAGAAATCAGCTTCCGGAACACAGCCATCTTGAATACATCAAGAATGCAACTGCACCTCTTCAGCCACACTCTTCTCATTTCAACACGTCAACTTCCAGTTTCTTATGTAAATGTACAAGGCGCTCGTCCAGTATTTCAGGTCAAAAATGTTCGATAGACTCTCGTTTAAAACATGTTTTACAGACATAAGAACGATCTGCGTGTTTCTGTTGCCTTATCGTTTTCTGATCGACGCAAGGCAAGGTAAGAACAAGGTTTTACTTCCTTCTGATGGCAGCTACATTGAAACTATTATAAGCGGTTTTTCATATTTAAGATGCTTTTAGCAAACATAATTCTGCCATTCCTTTTACATAGTGTATCATGTTTTTATTGTTGTTTGTATTCTGTGTTCCTCAGAGAAACACTTCCTCAGCTACAAGTTTACAGCCGATTGCAAAGCAAACACACACCCTGTGTTCAAAGCTGTGTGTGTGTGTGATGGCAGAGAGATTGCTCAATACAGTAATGAAGAAAGAGTCTGGATAAGATCGAGTCTGACTGCAGATGACTGGATCAAAGCTCCTGCAGAACCACCTGAGTCTAGAGAGTGGTTCATGCATCAGTTAAACACGCTGTCAAACTGCTCAGACTCACAGTGTTCTGGTGAGCTTCATGCTTTACTCATCAATTATCAGACAAATTATGAAATTGCATGTATTTGTGGTCACACTTTATTTTAAGGTCCAATTCTCGCTATTAACAAACCATTAACTACGACTTTTGCCAAAATAAACTCGTAATTTGCTGCTTATTAATAATTAGTAAGGTAGTTGTTAAGTGTAGGATTAGGGATGTAGAATATGGTCATGCAGAATATGTGCTTTATAAGTACCAAGAAACAGCCAATATGTTAATTATACGCATACTAATAAGCACTAGTTAATACTGAGAATTGGTCCCTATAGTGTTACCGTATTTGTTTATGTACTGTAAGGTTCTCATGAGTGTTGTTCTGTGATTGCAGAGCTCCATGTTCTTCAGAGAATAACTGGTTGTGAACTGGAGAAACTTCCTGATGGAACAGTGAATCTGACAGTGTTTGACGAATATGGATTTGATGGAGAGGATTTCATTGTCTTTAATTCTGACGCTCTGCAGTGGATTGATAAAAACCCCAAAGCTAAAGAAACTAAAAGGGAATGGGATCAACAAACAGAACGAAACCAACTCCTGCAGCATTACCTCAAGACCTGCATGCACTGGATCTCCACATGTAATAACACTAAAAAGAGTATGTTTTAATCAGAGCAGTTTTTCACACAATAACTCAAGGAAGTTGTTTCTCGATACAGTTCTCCTATAAAGAGTTTTTAAGAGAGTTTTCTCTACACTTCTTATTGTTCATCTGGATTGCAGGAGTTTGACTGTCACAGATTGCATGTCAGTTTACTAATTTATTAAATATCTACTAACTATCATGAAATAGAAAATTAAAAAGGCTCATACTGATTATAGCTTTCAAAACCTATACGGCTTGTTTTCTTCTGTTTTTTTTTTCTCACAGAGACAAAACCAAGGTCTTTATCAATATTTGTTTGTTAATTGCATTATTATTTTCTTCTCCAGCTCCACCAGATGTTCATGTGTTTGTGAAGAAAGCTCCTGATGATCAAAGCAAGCTGGTTCTGAGCTGTCTGGCCACTGGTTTCTACCCCAGAGATGTTGAGATGAACATCAGATTGGACGAAACTGTTCTTGAGAACCAAACATCATCTGGAATCAGACCAAATGCTGATGAAACCTTTCAGATGAGATCCAGTGTGGAGACTGATGCAGCTTACTAATTTATTAAATATCTACTAACTATCATGAAATAGAAAATTAAAAAGGCTCATACTGATTAAGCTTTCAAAACCTATACGGCTTGTTTTCTTCTGTTTTTTTTTTCTCACAGAGACAAAACCAAGGTCTTTATCAATATTTGTTTGTTAATTGCATTATTATTTTCTTCTCCAGCTCCACCAGATGTTCATGTGTTTGTGAAGAAAGCTCCTGATGATCAAAGCAAGCTGGTTCTGAGCTGTCTGGCCACTGGTTTCTACCCCAGAGATATTGAGATGAACATCAGATCGGACGAAACTGTTCTTGAGAACCAAACATCATCTGGAATCAGACCAAATGCTGATGAAACCTTTCAGATGAGATCCAGTGTGGAGACTGATGCAAATCACAAAGGATCTTATGACTGTCTGGTCGTTCACAGCAGTCTGACTCAGACACGACCGGTTTTAACAGTGTGGACTATATATCAACAAACATTTAGTGGTGAGTGATTATGATTAGAATATCCGTTATGCACTAATGCAGCTTCTGCAATTATAACGTGAAGATTAAATACAAATCACTAACTGTAGAAAGAGAAATAGTGTTTATGTTTTTAATGTAATTAAAGGGGTCATGAAATGTATTTTCAGATGTTCATATTATGTCATATTTTATAAAAATGATAATGTTCCATCTTCAATTTCACTCTGTCACAAACGCTTCAATGTAAGATGTTTAAAAAAAAAACTGGCAGCATTTGGAGAGTCTGTTGTGAAATGAGATCAACTAACAAAACTACTCCTGTTTAATCACCTAGGCATTTTTAATATAGTTTGATCTTTTGGATCGATATTCTGCTGTTTCAGAAGGATCTAAACTGGAGAGATAGCTTTGAGGTTTTATTGTAAAGTAACCTCTCATCATATGTGTAAATATCAAGGACATTTTGATTCTCCATTTCATGAGCCCTTTAAATAATGTAGTGTAATTGGCACAAACAATTAAGGTTCAACTCTGTTCAACAATTTAAAAGTATTTATGATGCTTTTTTTTTTCTTCAGCAGAATCTTTATGGTCTGTTATAGCAGGAATAGCAGCAGCTGTAGTTATATTTCTCCCTGTGATTGGTTGCTGCATCTACCATTAGAAAATCTCAAATGGTAAGCTCTAAATATTAAATATGATCATTGCAGCATTAAATCTCTCTGTTGTTTTTTCCCCCCAATATTTTAAATATGTATGAACAGTTTGACAGTATATGATGGTAGAACTATGTGAACATGGTGAGGTGATTGTTATGATGATGATATTTTGATTATTTTGATTATTTGAATTTCATTTAATGATAGACTACAAGTAAGATTATTTATAATATTTAGCAAACAAATGTGAAGTGTGGCATGCATAATTGCAGCTTGACATAAACATAGAACATGCATGGTATTTATGCACTCAAAATTAATTTTTATATTCTTTGATGTTTCCCAGCTCAGATGAGAAGTTACCCAAATAAGTTGGAGTGATTGTACAGATCCTCAGTCCAGCGAGCGTGAGATTCTCGAAACATTTCAAAGCATTCAGATCACATCGGTGGTATGATCAAAAGTGCTCTTTTAAATGCCTGTTAATGTCAGATGCACATAGAACCTAAGTGATCGATGTTACAGTGTTACACTCTTTAATAAGGGCTGCATGTTAACCTTTTTTGCACATAGCACTGGTGCTACAGAGGTTGAAAATTTTGTAGTACAGGCCAAAAAGTTGAAGTACAAGTATAAAACGTCAGTTATCATGTCTGAAAACAAACACAAGTGAAGGAGTCCATCACCTAAACAGACACTGATGTTCCAAAGAGCATAAAAAATACAAACCATCACAAAAATAGTTTTAAACAAAACAATGTGCTATGTACAAGCTACATTTTTCTGTATTTGCTTAAAATGGAAGAGTGCAGAAACATAACACCTAAACCTCAACAAAATATAAAATAATAAAGAATGGCAGAGATTAAGGCCAAAGTGGGCGCAGATAAAAAAATCCTTGTCATTATTTTATCTTTGTTATGGACCCTTTTCACAAAACTGGGATGACGCGATAACACTATATTTTGTATTATATTACCTTTGCACCGAATTACAAAAAAATAATTATCGCTAATGCGAGGGTGTTTCTAATACTGCGTCTATGGGAGTGACGGTCATTATCAGTCTATCTCTCTCTATTTATTTTTAATTTTTTTGGAAAGTCATGAAAACATTATCGTGTAGTTTTTCTTTTGCTATTTGAGCAAATGGGAATGCAAAAAAAGATATATATTTGTGGTAGTCTCCCATTCACCACTATATATTTACCCATCTATGATGACTTCCGCTGCTGAGAAACCCGGAAATGTGAAAAGGGTCTATTAAAAAAAGGCAGTGGCTATTTACACTAAGTGCAAATAGCATATTTTCTTAGCGATAGATACTATTTACACTAAGGGCAAATAGCAGTATTTTTTAATGATATGCTATTTACACTAAGTGCAAATAGTTATAGATTCTATTTACACTGTGTTAAAATAGCAAGATTTTCTGCCATACTACTTATTGCAAAGGTCATACTGATGTATAACATGTGTCTTTTTCAGTGTTGATTATCCCAAGCACACCTTGGTGGGCGGAGTTACTGTAAATAGCCTCTGCCAACAAGGCAGCTATTTGCACTTAGTGTAAATAGACACTCCGTTAAAGAAAATGGTAACTTACATTCTTTAAAACATCTTATTTTGTGTTCAGCACAAGAAAGAAATGAATATAGGTTTGGGACAACGTGAGTGAGCAAATAATGACAGAAATGTAATTTTTGGGTGAACTATTCCTTTAATCACAAGCGGCAGCAAGTTTAGTCCTGTCACTTAAGCTGCACGCATCCGTTTCTCTCTCAACTGTTTACTTTCATTTTAGACATAACCATCTGTGTTTAAATGTAAACATTGTGTGTTTTTGACAGTATTAGATCAGATGCAAAATCAATTAGACGTGAAAGACAATTTAAAATCAGGTGGTGTGCGGTGTGCGCGCTTCATGTGTAGCATGTCAGAACAGCACGTGAATTAAATGTTTAAGCAGATGCAAATAATGTACTTTTGTGATTGCTCATAAGTGCAGTGTCCCACGAATGTAACTCTACTGAGGAGTTAACATTTGATGTGAATGTATGTCGCATTGTACAGTAGCTATGAGGTGGATGCCTCATACTGTATATGTCGCACTGTACAGCCCTGCTTTAGTGCAATACAACTTTTAGCAGTCATGGTTAAAATGTACTGATGTGTCTAAAGACTCATTTTCTTCTTTTTAGTTTTTGTGTAAAACCTGTTGTACTGTGTGCACAAAGCTTAATTATCTTTGTTGCTTTAATAGTGTTCTTTGTAATGTTTACTTTATCGTGCTCCATCATTATAAGCTCAGCTACAGGAACACTATATCATGATACAGGGATCCTGTAACTTGCACAATCATGATTACTGTGTTTGCGATCCAAAGGTCATGAGTTTTATTCCCAGGGATCAGATATATAGACTGAATGCAATGTTAAGTGTTATTGATAAAAGTGTCTGACTCATGCAAAATGTGCCTGTTTTGACAATGTGTTGTGTTCAGTGTGCAATATAAGAAACAAATGTCTTAAGTGTGAGTGTGTGTTTATGGACAAACATGATGTTTAGGTATGAAGATCTTCACTGATATCGGACATTTCTCTCAGCTCATATGAATGCAACGTCTGTTAGATAATCAGAGAAAACTAAATATAAGGCCTCTAAAAATTATAATTAAAACATTTCTCATCTAATTGTCTTGGAACAAAGAAAAGTAGAGCTGAGCCATGCAGTGAAGAAAAGTTTCCAGAGGACAAAATTGGATTTTATTAGAGGAGACAAAAAGCAGAGATGCCTGCTGAACATCTGGCCATCTCACTCACAGCTGACATTTTTAAATGTCTTAGATCTTATTGCAGGTGTTCTCCTCCCAACACTCCCTAACTCCTTTCCCATGGTCTTCTCATTAATTAGTTACATTGTTCTGTCTTGTAAGTGTGGCAGACTAACATGTGTCAAAACATAATCACAAAAGTGATTATTCAGTGTGTTTACCTCAATATTTTTTATCATAAGACCATGTTTGAAGGCCATATAGCCTAGACGTGTCAATACTTAGACAAATACAAATACTTAGTTTCAATACAGATGCCAACCACAAGCAACTTCAAAAACAATCTCATTCTTTCCCCTGTGACTTCCTTCACAGTCAGGTCAGAGTCAAAAGTAACAATTATTATATTATATTATATTATATTATATTATTTTAATTTAAACAATTATTATCAAACATTTATATTCATTTAGTAACAAATATATCTTAGTGTAGGCTATATCTTTAGAGTTTTATAATTTATTTATTTCTTCTTGTCTATCCTCTAGTTCACATTTACAACTGCGTGTTTTCTGCATAAAAATAAGGTTCATTTTTGGCTTTGGTCTAAATAAAGAGCAGAAGGGCTTATTGAAAAATGCTAATTCATTCTCTGCCAGCAGGTGGCGCTTTTTGCCAGGAATTAGCCGTTTTCCCCAGTAACCGCAGTAAACAAAGGCAGCACCTGACTTTGAAACTTGCAGCGCTCATATTTAATCAATTAAATAGCCTTTTGAAGTGTAAGCTATATTTCATTATACATGTACATGTATTTATTTTTTTTTCACTGGAGCACCACCTGAGTCTTCTTCTCCCATTTCTACCAGTGATCCTTGTTTCCTTCCCGCGGTACTCCTTGCACAGATATCAATAGCATCACTGGGATGTAGGTTGCCAAGTTGAGGGGACAAATGGGTTGAAATTTGTATGCGTTGATCGTGTGAGAAAGGTGCGTTTCATACAAGATCTGGCAACTGGACAACCTTGGAATTTGTTGTCATGATTATTCATATAATGAGGTTTGGCCCATACAAATTACGGGAGTTTTACCGGAAGCGAATGTAGCAAACATATAAGTGGGAGTTTTTTAATAGAAAGATTCAAAATACGGGAGAAATACAGGAAAATATTTAAAGGGGTCATATGATGCGATTTCAATTGTTCCTTTCTCTTTGGAGTGTTACAAGCTCTTGGTGCATAAAAAAGATCTGTAAAGTTGCAAAGACTGAAGTCTCAAATCCAGAGAGATATTCTTTATAAAATTAAGAGTCAGCCACACCTACCTAAAACGGCTCGTTCTAACACGCCCCCACATGTCTACATCACTATGTGGGAAGATTTGCATAACGCCGCCCAAATGTTCACGCAAAGAAAGAAGGCATAACTTTTATTCTCGTTGTAGTATTGTTGCCGCTGCCGCCATGTCGTGAAGGCTCTGTGTGTTTTGTTGTGAAAGCGAAACTACTTTGTTTGGTCTTCCAAAAGAGGACGATATCTGCTTCATCATGCCTGGAGCTGATCTGTGCTGGTCGCTGAGGAAATACATCAACTTAGTGCTGTGAGGGTTGACAGGTATGACGTTGCCTCTGTAGCCGATTGATTGAGACGTCTCAATCAATCGGCTACACCTCTATAAACTAAACATTCTTGGGGGTAAACTAATTAGTCAACACCAAATCAACAATTTGTGTTAAAGCATGTGCATGGAATGTTTCAGCCTTGCACATGGTTATGATGGTTATGAAGAGTATATCAGTGATTAGACTTATTCCAGACTATAAATATAAAAATATGACATTAAGTAGGTAATAATACACTGGTCTGTCCCACGGTGCCAGAGGAACTTGCAAACATAGTCTGGACTGCTTTCTGGTGTTTGGGTTTTTAAACTAGCAGTTAAGTCTACCCATGTTGCTAAGCACTGAGGTGCTCGTCAATCCAGTCTTCTTGATTTCTGATCTGATTCTGTAATCGAAAGATGAACTGGGCTGCGTTTCCCAAAATCATTGTAAGCGTATGTTGATCGTAGCTCCATTGGTTTCAATGTGTCTACGATGTACTTAAGCTTACGATGCTTTTGATCAGTTATGTTTCTGTTACAGACTGCGTAGCCAACTTAGCTGTGGCAGTTGAGTGAATGAAGTACCTAACATTACACATTTTGTTTTGCAGTTATTTATGTGCATCATCCAGGTATTCAAAGTTCACTATTTCTTGTTGTAATTTTCATTGTGAACACACAACTTTGCACCATTTAAACTACAAAACGCCATAGAATAGTTCATAAATACACAAATGGGGACACAGCTATAGTGTGTTCTACCCAATGAAACTGTTTTTGTTATGTAAAGATGTCACTGCTCAACATCATTTAGCAACTTTTAGCAACAAATCAACCTGATGTTTACAACTTAGCTAACATTAGTGACCATTGGTAAATTTAATATGTCTGGCTTCCAGCGTCATCCACTTCCATCTATTTTTAGCTGTACAGAACAGCTTGTTTTGCTGCTTGATATTGCAGACTGATGTTTCTTACCATATTATTTTAATGTATTGTCAATTATAAACACACTGGTTTGTAGCTCAAACAGTTTTAGCATTTGCTGCACTTTGTTATTCTTCTAGTTAATTTCGGCCAGAAATTTGCATAGCACCAACGCAGATCCCTTCGAGGACTTCCTAATGATTTTCCTGTTTTTTTTTTCATGAAAAAATAAAAGTCTTTCATGAAAAGTAAAATAAAGTTTAATAAATGTTTTAATGTGCATATAGACTTCATTCGTCAGAGTAACAAGTGCAGTCATCTTTGCTTCTAATTCCGACTTTTGTTTCAGAATTGTGTGATATAAACTTCTGTTTATATCTCACAATTATGACTGTTTTTCAGTCATAGTTTAATTAGGACATTTGGGTCATTTTTATAAACGTGCCTTAGAAAAAAACATTACTGTCCCTCTTGAGAGAAAACAATGTCATTTATATATTTTAAGATTAATCCGTGCAAGTTTCTTTCAGTTGAAACAGCTAAGACTTACATTTAAGTCTGGGACTAGGCTTAAGCCTTGTCTGTGAAACCGGGGGATAAACTCATAATTGCAAGTTATCAAGTCCAATTCTAAAGGGGGAAAAAGACTATATTCTTTCAGTTGCAAGTTTTTATCTCAATTCTGAATTTATAACTAGCAATTGCGAGTTTATATCATGCAATTTTGAGAAAAAAAGAAATTATCGCTCACAATTCTGACTTTTTTTCTCAGAAAAAAATTAACTGCATTTCTGCGGGGAAAAAAAGCCACAATTGTGAGATAAAAAGTCACAATTACCTTGTTTTATTTTTAATTCAGTGGCAGAAATAGGCTTCCATAATTAAGTCCCCCCTTAGCACAGCCAAGAAATTCTAGAGCCGCCGTTTTTTGTCTTATCCTTTTCTAAGCTACGCGAGGCAAGGTAGGAACAAGGTTCATTCATTTCTGTACAGCACTTCCACCTGACCAACAGATGACAGCTACATTGAAACTATTATAAACAGGTTTTTTGTTGTTGTTTGTATTCTGTGTTCCTCAGAGAAACACTTCCTCAGCTACAAGTTTACAGCCGATTGCAAAGCAAACACACACCCTGTGTTCAAAGCTGTGTGTGTGTGTGATGGCAGAGAGATTGCTCAATACAGTAATGAAGAAAGAGTCTGGATAAGATCGAGTCTGACTGCAGATGACTGGATCAAAGCTCCTGCAGAACCACCTGAGTCTAGAGAGTGGTTCATGCATCAGTTAAACACGCTGTCAAACTGCTCAGACTCACAGTGTTCTGGTGAGCGTCATGCTTTACTCATCAATTATCAGACAAATTATGACATTTCTTGTATGTTTTTATGTACTGTAAGGTTCTCATGAGTGTTGTGTGATTGTAGAGCTCCATGTTCTTCAGAGAATAACTGGTTGTGAACTGGAGAAACATTCTGATGGAACAGTGAAGAGTCTGACTGTCTTTGATGAATATGGATTTGATGGAGAGGATTTCATTGTCTTTAATTCTGACGCTCTGCAGTGGATTGATAAAAACCCCAAAGCTAAAGAAACTCAAATGAAATGGGATCAGCAAACAGAACGAAACCAACTCCTGCAGCATTACCTCAAGACCTGCATACACTGGATCTCCACATGTAATAACACTAAAAAGAGTATGTTTTAATCAGAGCAGTTTTTCACACAATAACTCAAGGAAGTTGTTTCTCGATACAGAGGCAATTTATCATCATTCACTGACAAATAAATACTAGTGTGTTAAAAATGTACTGATCTAAAAAACTGTTTAAAAAAAGATTTGGTAACGCTTTAGATTACAACCCGCAATGTACTGCGTAAGTAAACAGAATTTACAGCATAACTTTTTTGTAATTACAGTGTACCTATTTAGTACCTCCGTGTAGGTATAAGGTAACAATATGCGAAGTTTGGGGAAGAAAGGAGTAATCTGTAAAATTACAAATTATTTCTACTGTAAGTATTTTGAAACCAAGGGGTACCTATTCTAATATTATGGGGTATGTATGACCTAACCACAATCTCATATTTGCAAGCGATTAAGCAAAAACGTACACTGTGTACTTTTTTATAGCCTACACATATAAAACATGCTGGTAATTATTTCAATCCAAACGTTCGGTTGAGACTGTTGGGTTAGGAAGCTGGCTTGATTTGACCCAATTTGGGTTGATATCAGTAATAAGTAACCCGACGTTGCTGGGTTATGAATGTGGAGGACGTGAATGAGAGCATGCAGCAAGTCACGTGAGTTCACACGTGAACGGCTCTGTGTGCAACGAAATCCATGACTGCGGTGCTTAAGATGGGAGCATGGAGACCAAGAAACATACTGTAATGAAATTTGGCATGGAATGTGCTGAGAATGCTAAATTCTCAAATTTTCTTTTTTTTTTTTTTTTACTGTACTGTATTGTGGTGCATGCTAAGTTCATACAATTCTTTGGTAGTTGAACTTTTCTAGTGCTTTTCATCTACTGCAAGATTACTTTACAGTAGTAAAATGAAAATGATTTTTTCCCCCCAAAAGTTCATTGCTGAATTATACATCTGTAATTTAATTTATCTACAGGCCTACTGTAATAGACATTGAGCTGCAAACATCATTCCTGAATCCTAGTAAGAGTTCTGTGTTACAGTGGTATTGATCTCAGTGTTCACTGGGCAGGAAAGTCATCTGTGTATTTGAATTGTGTGTAAGCATTTACAGTCTTTTTCAACTGCTTACACACAAAATCTTAACTTGTCACACAATTTCTGAAAGCTGACACTCAAACATCACAAGCACACACCAAATCTGCAAAACCATACACTAATTCTCGGCCTTTGACTCAGTTTTCAATTTCATAAAACACTTTTTGCAAAACACAACACACAATTCTTTATGTAACACACAAACATCGAACAGGAATTTATATTATGGCAAAGGTGTTTGCAAATGTTTGCTTTTGAGATGTGTTTGTGATATTTTGAATGCAGTGCTTCATTTAGCAAGAGATGTGAGCCATTTTGCATTTTGTGCGTGCAATTCTTGGATTTGTTTGTAAAGTTTTGAAAAAAAAAGAGGCAAAGTTTTGAAAATGTAAGCAGTTGAAAAAAAAATCCTGTAAGAAAAACTGTAATAACTAGATTGAAAAGTTTGAAAGACAAATTTATGCTGGCTTGTTTTAAAGGGGGCATAACACACACAGTTTCGCCCAATCTCATGTTAATCTTGACTACCTATAGAGTAGTACTGCATCCTTCATATCTCCAAAAAGTCTTTAGTTTGATCATATTTATAAAAGAAATATACAGCTTTGCGATTCTCTCCGGAAAAAGCCGAGCTCCTGGAGGCGCATTGTGGGCGGAGCTAAAGAGTGACGAGCACTTGAGTCGCTGAATGCCAACAAAACAGACATTTGATGCCGTTTCACTAACCGTCTGCAGTTCTGAATCATGACTGGGATCTTTTATAACTGGGACCGCTCCATCTTTCAGTATCAAACGATGAAACTGATCCAGTTTCAGTGCTTTGATATTATTGTATTTCTTTCTAATGTCAGGAAATTCAAAAGTGTTTGTTGCTTTTAAACTTGCACTAAACATGATTATACCATCTAAGTAGCCTATGTAATTTTAATAGAACCGCATGTCTTCTTTAGTGATAAAAGCTCAGAAACTTTTATAACCTGTTGAAGTTTTTTATATTGTGTATTGACTTGGTGCCATGATGGATATTGAAATGTTATTTATTTTTCATTTTAAACAGTATAGATGATTACTTAATGGTAATACAATATTTGTGAACACAACTGTACACACGTATGTCAGACCATAAATCCCCAAAAGCTGTGCATGGGGGCTTGCTTTGGTGTTGGCGCCCCTCAAAAATTATTTTCTAGATCCGCCACTGACTTTGCTCAAATGTACAGCTTCAAAGTCAAAGTCAGTCTCATTGATGAGTGTTGAATGCATAAATGTGCCTCTCTGGACAATGTGTTGTGTTGCAATAGGTTATAATAAATAAATGTCTTAATAGTGAGTGTGTGTAGTGTACTGGACAATGTGTAACATTATGTACATGGTAGAAAGATCTTAACTAATCTCAGACATTTCTTTCAGCTCATTAATGCACTGACAACATCTAAACATCTGTAAACAAAAATGAAAAAAATCTAATGTACATTTAGTAACTGAAAAATCATCACATTCTGTGTAAAGAAGCTGTGATGCAAATGTTGTATTTTGTTGTTGCTTATGTTCGTGTGTGATTTCACCAAAAAAGAGGACTGCAAAAGTGTTTATTTCCCCGTTGTTCTCATAACCTGGCTGCTTAGTCGCTTGATGATACTGTCTAATACTGTTTTCACTCAGAATGTTTTTGCATACAAGATGGCAAACGTACGGTGGCCGAGAAGTGCAGAACAAATCACAATTCTGAAAACAAAAGAACAAATTACAAACGCAAATGCAAGTCTAAAAAACAAAATAACAATTCAGAAAACACAACAACAATTCAGAAAACATTATAACAAGTCAGAAAACACAATGACAAATAAACGCTACCTAACTTTACGAAAACGAAAGTGTTTATAAACTAGCAGCTGGTCAGTCCGGCACAGTCGACACCGGGAACAGATGCCTTCAGCTTTAATGTGCGTCTAGGACGCGAGTCTAAAATTGTGCAAATGGCTAACAAGTGTAAAAACATTCTCTTTATAAAAGTAGTTTGGCTTATTTTTCACAGTTTTTTGAGCGATGGTAAGAACCAAGGTAAGCACATTCATATTGCTTCCCTGCTTAAAAAAAAAGAAGGAAAAAAAAGAATAGAACCATTACAGAAATCCTAATCTTTTCCATTACAAAACCATTACAAACCATCAACCATTAACCATTAAAGCCATTACCAAATGGTTTCCATTACGTAGTGTGTTCTGGGCATATTCCATTAGGATTTATTGGTTTGTATAGGCTTCCATTACAAATTTGTATTGGTCATGATTTGCTCATAATGGTTTCCGTTTTCGGTTTTCATTAGCCACAGCAGGAAAACACGCAGTCTATTAACAAATATAGGCTATACACTATACCTTTTGAGTTTGATTCCAAGTTATATTTATAAAAAAAAAGGAAAGAAAAAGAAAAAAAGCTTCAGCAACCATTTTAGCCCGAAATAACAAGGGATCGAGGAGAGTATCGACGAAATAACACCGCATTGCGTCTCGGCTGAGTCTGACTATGGCAAGCCGTTTTGACTTTTATTCATTCTCAGGATATAAATTCTTGATATCAACAATTCAGTTTTTACTAGTTAAAATGCTAATTCTTGAAACCAGGAATTGGATTTCTACTAGTAACAATTGCAATTTTTGATATCAGGCATTACATTTCCACTAGTAACAATGTTAATTCTTGATATCAACAATTTAATTTTCACTAGTTAAAATTCTAATTTTTGATATCAGGAATTACATTTCCACTAGTAAAAAATATAATTATTAACATCTGTAATTGTATTTTCACTAGTTAAATGTCACCAGACTGCCAT